TCCCTTCCCTTCCCTTCCCATCCCTTCCCTTCGCTTCGCTTCCCAGCGCAGCGCAGCGCAGCCCGCGGGGAGGAGCCGCTCCGCGGCGGCGCGCGGGGCTCCGCGGCCCTCGGGCCGCCGCCCGGGTGTGTGTGCGCAGGGCCGGTGTCCTCGGCCCCGCCGCAGCAGCGCGATCCCGCTGACAAGCAGCCCCTCCGGCCGCCCGGCTCTGTTGGGGTGCCGAGGGCGCCGGTGCGGGGTGGCGGGTGCTCCAGAGGCCTCTCGAGGACCCGGGCTGCCGGGGGGGCAGCACCAAGGCAGCGCTCGGGCGAGACAGGGSCTGCGGGGCCGCGCAGGGCTGCAGCGCTGTGATGCCAGGGAGCCGCTGGCGTCCTGGGGCACAGGGAAGCTGCAGAGCAGAGGGGCTGGTTGTGTCCCCCAGCAGTAGCTTCTCTGACCCTTGAAGGCTGGAGGAGCRTCTTCAGGACGGGTGTCTCGTGGGTTCATTGAGCACGAAAGTGTCACGTCTCCTCCGGTCTTCTTGCCCATCACAAGCACAGTTTTTTTGAGGATTATTTCCCATTTCCCTGCAGTTCATGGGCCTTACCCCAAATCTGAAACGTGCAGGCCAGCGGGACACGGTGCAGCAAGGGTGACCGGCTGAGCACCATGGGCCTGAACCCTTGCAGTGCTGGAGAGAGGTCTCCCCTGGGGACTGAACGTGCACAGCGCTGGTAGAGGCAGGGCTAGAGGCTGCCTGGGCACGTCCCGGTCCTCGGGGTCCTGGACGGTGGCTGGAGGACACAGGAAGGGCAATGAGGATGTGTGTGTGCAAGGAGAGGTGGGCAGGACGGGGCTGCGTGGGGACAACGGGACTGCAGATCTGGGCAAAACCTGCCTGGAAGTTGGAGGACGTGGGAGAGCGAGTGGGCTGCAGCGCTAGGCCAGGTATTGTCAGGCCAGGTCTGCTTGGTGGGGAAGTTGTGCTGCTGAGGACCTGCCAGACTTCAGCAGACTTGGAGCTGCTCTGCAGGGAAGGACGAGGTGCTCGGAGGAAACTTCCACCTTTTGTAATGCTGTCTCTTGTTTCTCTGCCTAGGAGAGCCCCACTTTCTGATGAAGAGTCTAAAACAAGCAGCTCCCAGCACTTGGGCTCTCAAGAGTTCTGCGTCAGCAGCAGCCTTTCCAAGGTGAGCTCCTTGCGCACATGGCCAGGTCCAAGAAGCCATTCTTGTGGTGGGGCAGGTGAAGCAAAAGCATTCCCGCCAGTCTGAGCTCCCTGGGCCCTCTCTCCCAGAAGGATGCTCCTGGCTGCAGCACGGGAGGAGCAGCACTCTGGCTAAAGCTGTTCATTGCCTGCCCATACGTGGTCATCTCAATGTCCTGTGGGGCCCTATAGAGGGGAAGGTGTTGTCTGCTTTGCACTTGTGCCACTCTAAGGGGCATCTTCTCTCTTCTCGCTGCAGGTGGAGCTCACGGCAGTCAGCAGTGGTGGCAGCAGTGCCCAGGGGCTGGATGCAGACGGCAAGGTGGAGGAAAAGCTCGGTCCCCAACTGGAAGAGCAGCTGCCTGATCCTAACCCAAGTCCAGACTGTGCGGGAAAGACTGTGAAAGACGATGACACCCTGGGCCCTCTGGCAAGCCAGGGGGATGGCAGAGGGCAAGAGGCAGCAATCCCCAGCGCTGCAGAGCAGGAGGGCACTGGTGCCCACGCTGCCCCGGCGCCTGCAGATGCCCCCAGCGACAAGCAGGCCGCTGTTCCTCCAGCCTGCTCGGCAGCCCCAGGGAGCGAGCTGGCTGCGAAGGAGAAAAGCACCCCAAGCACTGGAGCACAAGGGCTGGGGGTGCTGGCGGAGGGGACGTTATCTGTGGTTGCTTCCAGCTGCAACACCTCGGCCTCCAGCCCGGCCACCTTCACGTTGAGTAGAGTGTGCTTTCCCACGTCTCAGGCCCCTGCTATGCAAAAAATGCCCCTGTCCTTTCAACCTGGGGCAGTTTTGAGCCCAAGCCAGCCACTCGTGTACATCCCTCCGCCCAGCTGTGGGCAGCCGCTCAGCGTGGCCACGCTCCCAAGTACCTTGGGGGTCTCCTCCACGCTCACCCTCCCTGTCCTGCCTTCCTATTTACATGACCGTTGCCTGCCAGGAATTATTGCTTCTCCAGAGCTGCGCTCCTAYCCCTACACCTTCTCTGTGACCAGACCTTTGACTTCAGATGCCAAAGTGGTGTCTGTCGAGGTGAGTCAGCTCAGCTGCTCTTCACCTTCGAGTGGAAGTGTTGCCCAAACTGTGGCCGAGGCTGCTCCCGCATCCACAGCTGGCTCTTCCGTCTCATCCAGCCAGCCTCCGGTGGCAGCATCGTGTGCGAGCAGTGCTCCTTCGTCGGGYACTGGTACCCACGCCAGAGCTCCGGGTGCTCCTGAGCCCCAGGTGCAGGGGACTGCCACTTCGCTTTCTCCTCTGAAGTCCCCTCCGCAGCTGGAGCGTGAGATGGTCTCCTCTCCGGAGTGCAGCGAGATGCCTCTCGATCTCTCCTCCAAGTCCAATCGCCAGAAGCTGCCTCCGCCCAGTCAACGCAAGACGCCTCCGATGCCCATCCTCACACCCGTGCACACCAGCAGCAAGGCGCTGCTCACCACGGTGCTGTCCAAGTCCCAGCGTGCTGCCCAGAGCACCGGCAGCAACGTCACCTCGTGCCTGGGCACCACCCCGCCCTTCGTCATCTTCCCCGAGTTCCTGCGTAACGGGGAGCAGGGCTCCTGGGTGAAAAACACCACGCTCATCAGCACCATCCCTGGCACCTACGTGGGGGTGGCCAACCCTGTGCCCGCCTCGCTGCTGCTCAGCAAGGATCCTGGCGTCACCTTCAGCAGGGACCCTCGCCACCTGCCCAAGCAGGAGCCTATTTCCATTGTCGATCAGGGAGAGCCTCGAAATGCTGGGAATCCCTGCGGGAAGAAAGCCGGCCAGGGCAGTGCGGAGGGACAGCAGGATCCTGCTAAGAGGCTTGTCCATGGCAGAGTTGCTTCAGGAGCTCCTTTGTGCCCATCCAAGGATATCTCTACTTGGAATCCTGGCCAGGGGAGTGTTTACCCCCGTTGCCCAGTAAATGGGAAACCTTCCAATCCTCAGCTTCTGCCCTTGGGCTGGTCTCCTTATCAAACCCCTCTGCTTTCGATCGGCATCTCCACCGTGGGGCAGCTGCCCCCAAACCAGGGCAGCGCCTGCAAGCCCTCTGGGCCGGGGGAGCCCCCGACCGTGCCTAGCGTGCAGCCTGCCGAGTCTGGCACGGCAGCCCAGAGCGCCCCCGAGGGACTGCCCAGGCTCCCAGCTCCCGAAGCTGCCTCYAAGAGCAAGAACTGCCGCAATGTGCCCAAAGTCTACGAGGAGGCTGCCAACCCAGCCCCGCTGAACGCGGCTGCAGCCCTTCAGACCAGTCCCGCGGACGTGAAAGCAGGGAAGGGGAAGCCAGAAAACCCTCAGAAGAGTCAAGAGGGTGGCGAACCAGAGGCTGACCCCAGCAAGGAGAGCAACGTACAGACTGAGGCTCCCCCGGGGAGCTGTAGCCTCAAACAGCCGGATGCAAAGCCTAAAAACCAGGTGCTGGCCGCCTATTTGTCGCACGAGCCGCCCGCAGCAGGGCAGCAGCAGAGCCAGCGAACAATTTCGGAGGGGCCTGGCGCTCCCACGGAGGGGCAGCGCAAGGAAGGCGGCTGCGAGGGCTCCCAGGAGCAGCCRGCTGCGGAGCCGCCGCCGTGCATGCGGCAGGTGGATCTATGCAGGGTCAAGAAGGAGCGAGTGGAGTGCGACATGTCCTTCGCTCCTGCGGCCTGCCTGCGAGCTGGGGCTGCTGCCCAGGCCTTTCCTGAGGTCCAGCTCAAGGCTGCAGGCCAAATCAAGCAGGAGGGCAGCGCGCGCTGCAAGGCCAAGCGGCAGCACGATGGGGATATCAAGCAGCCTCACAAGAGACTGAAATGCAAAGCCCAGGACAGTGAGGAGGCCGCGAGCAGATCAGGGAGCCGGAACGTGCACGGCAGGAAGGTGGGTGAGAGGCTCTGAGGAAGGGTCTCCAAAGCCCGGGATGGGGGAAGCTGCCAGGTGTGGGCTCTAGCTTGGGCTACTGGCTTGTCAAAGGGGTTAGGAGTGAGGAGGCAGTTCTCACTGGTGAGAGCTGCTTACTGCACAGAGCTGGAGCTTCTTGATGTTAACCTCATAGCAGGTTAGTATCTGAAAGACGAGGGTCTGCAGGCTTTCTTGGGCAAATTCTGTGTATCTACAAATTCCTGTGTTGTATGTGGGGGTCAAAAACGCTGAAGGGCAGCAGCACTGGCTGGGATGGGACAGCATTTTGACTTCCCTTTTTAGCTCTTCCAGCACGATTTGTTGGCAGTGCAAGCTTCAATCTGCATCTTCCCTTCGCAGTGGCGAAAACACCACGATGACCTGCATGAAATTAGCCAGCGAGAAAGCCGGGCTGGCCTGGGATCAGTAAAAGACCACAACAGCCTCAGACTGAAGCGTAAGCGCAGGCGGCCRTCCAAGACAGACTTCCCATCACCAGCACATCGCGGGGACAGCCACGAGGAAGGTACTAATGTGAATTTTAGATGGCAACAGGTTCTCACTCTGTCCGTCTGCACTGTTTCCTTAGCACCAGTGCTCTCCTGCCATGGAGCCAAAGCGCAGTTCTCCTACAGCTGCGTGGCTCTGGAGTTGGTTGCTTCCCATAGCGGAATGGGAATCTATGTGGGGCTGAAACCTGGTGCCAGGCTGCCCTCGCCAGGCTGCAATTTTGCTTGCACAAATTCCCCTCTGCCTTTTTCGTGGCTTTGTTCCTCAAGGCTCCGTTGTCCCAACAGGTTGCCTTGAGAAGAAGCCCAAGAACAACTTCCGTGATTTCATTCCAGTGGTGCTGAGCAGCCGGACGCGGAGTCAGTCAGGTGAGTCTCTGTCAGGGGTTCCTGCACACGGACACGTCGCTGCTGAGCAAGGGCAGGGTACGTGGCTGCCCTCCCTGAYTGAAAGAGTCCTGGGGTGGAATGGGAGCTTTCCTGCGTTTGCRTGGCTTCGTTTCTGTCTTCTGTCCTGCCCCAAAGGGCTTTCTCTTGCTGATGCTCTTGACTCTTCTTGTCAGTTAGAAATTTCACTTTCTTTCAGGAAGCGTTGCTGGCTCCTCTGCTGGCTTGACAGGGGAGTGTGATGTGACTGGTCAGGAGATTTTACCATTGGAAGAGGATCAGGAAGAAGAAGAGGAGGAGGAGGAAGAAGAAGAGGAGGAGGAGGAGGAGGAAGAAGAAGAGGAGGACGAGGAGGAGGAGGAGGACGAGGAAGATAGGTCCTTGAAATGCCGCAAGCTGCGGAAATCCCACAGGACGTCGCGCTGCCACAGTCGCAGGGCCAGGGACAGGTCTGTGTCAGAGAGGAGCAGCTGCCACTTGCGGAGGGCCCGTGACCAGCCCTGGAGAGTGGAAGCACCCAGGCAACTGTGGGAGCCCAATGAGGAGGAAGAGGGCGACRGCTACATCAGAAGAAAGAAAAGGAGACGGCAGAAAAGTCGGAAATACCAGACCGGGGAATATCTGACCGAGCGAGAGGAGGAACAAGTGGGCTACCCCCACAGGAGGCGAAAATCCAAAGCAGGTACTGGGAAGCAGTCTGGGAAGGGATACCAGGTACCATGCACCTGGAACCTAGGTCATATGTATATGTATTTTTATTATATATGTATATAATGATGGAGTTTTGTCATTACAACTAGGGTGGTGGGCTTGCAATGGACCGCTTCAGCTCATCAGCTCTTTAAAGCATTTTTGCAGTATGTTTTAGGGTGGGGAACACCATCTTGTGTGGCTAGTTTGGTACTGATGCTACCCTTGGATCAAGGCAGAATTGGAGGAAATAGCGCAGTAAATTTTTTTCCTAGATAAGCACAGACCCTTGGGAGGTCTTCTGCATTCCTGGCTAAAATAGAGAGGTGTTTATGTTTTGTTTTGCTCAATTAAGTTAACTTGCAAGCCGGCACCACCMAGCAAGAGGGAGAAGATTGACAGGGTCATGGTGTTGCACATGTGGTTGTATTTGCAGCTTTGCTAAGAGCAGAAGTGCTGCTGCCTGTGTCGTGCTTCCTGCTCTACCTCCTGCGCTCTTTTCCTTCAATAACTGCAATACCTCCTTCAATATCTCCTTCAAAGCTATATCTATGTGCTCTCTATTTCCCTGAGGTTTAGTGGTCTCCTTTTCCTGGATGTTTTGAGTTATCCAGCTGCCAGCCAGCTATCTCTGTCTGTTAGGGGCATTTTGAGATTTTTGGAAGCATCCATACAAACAAAACGTGCATGTCGACACCTGGGTCGTGGTCCAACCGACACGTTGCTCTGCCTGAGCTCTCCTGCAGGTAACTTCAAGCAGTGTTGCAGAGGAGCCTGCCCCTGCCGCAGTGTCTTTCTGTGCCCAGCCATGCAGTGACACATGTACCTGCTGCCCTCTGCCACACCACCTCAGCGCTCAGGCTGACAGTCCTCAGGAGGAGCTGAGGTGCTGCACAAGGGCACTCTCAGCGAGGTTAGGTTGCAAAGCCAGGGTGCTGTCATTCCCAAGATCTCGTTCCCTGCGTGGTCTGAATCAAGCAGCTGACCAGCTGTGATTTTTTTCAATGAGTGTGCTTTCTGTAAAGGTGGAACTGTTGAGTGGGATGCTTAGTTAGCACATTGCCTGCTAAACTCTGTTGTTTCAGGTTAGTCACAGGGTTTCTTTTGTCTCTCACCTCTCAGTACGTCTAAAAGCCTGCTGTGGGCTGGCCAGCGAGGGTGGGAAGCCAATTGGGCATTTAATTCTCTTACTGTCATCTCTCTAGTTTCAGATTTGTGTACCTTTAGACCACTTCGCTACTAGTGTGTGCTCTCCAAAGCTTTGTGTGAAATCAGTAGCAAAGTTTCTAATGGTGGTCTTGGCATCTTTGCATTGCTTTCTATGAAGTCACTTATACTGTCTCCCACTGAAATTCWGGAACATTTGGAGAGGTTGTTTTCTTCTAGGAGTCTGGTGTCCATCTCAAAGGTGTCTGTCCTCTCAAGAATGCTTCCATAGCTGGCTTCCCTCACGGGCTGTGCGGTTACTTGGTTCTCAGGTGCATGAGCTTCTTTATTTTGGATTCTGAAGTTCAGCTCATGACCTAGAGGCATTCCTGCCTTTGGAGGTTAGGACACAGGCTTTACTCTGAGGTGGCCCAAAGGCACAAGAGGGAGATGAGGCCAAGTCGCATCTTTGGAGAGAGGAGGCTGCTGCATTCACTACTAGCTAAAGACTCTGCATCATCTTTAGATACGAGGGGCTGCAGTGGTTCTGCCCTGGCATCTCAGCCAAAACTCTGGTTCCTGGCAATAACAAACCTGGTGGAAGCTGTTTGCAGTGCTTGATGGGGAGAATCTAAAATACATAAAATGTTAGACATCTTCTCCCTGGGGATCACTCTCTTGATCCCTTGAACTAACCTAACGGGGCATCTCCTAGACCTTTGCCTCGAAATGAAGCAGAAATGAAGCAAATTGCTGAAAGCTGTGGAGAGAGCCACCTTGAAAGACTCTTGAGTCCCCATAGCTGCCTGCATGGTGCCCTTCCTTTGCAGCCTGTTTTCTTCCAGCACTGATGGTCTACAGCAAAGAGGGAGATGTGCAGGCTTCACACAAACCACTGACATTTATGACATTTCCTCTCTCATACCCTGCTTTTCTTTTCTCGTTACTCTCATGCCCTTGTGAGGGCCTGTTGCTGTTTGAGTGAACTGTAGCACACGTCTTTGCACGATGTTTAGGGCTCTAATGAACGACCCTGCAGTTTCTCATAACGTGAGGAAGAAAAGCTTGAATTTCCCTTGAGACCTCGTGCTACTTCCTTCCTGCCTGCATATTAAATTAAAACTTGAATATGCTACTTAAGGGCAAGACGTGAGAGGGCAAGGCAGGGTCTGATTTTGTAGGCAGCAAAATAACAACTGTTCTGGGTGTAGAGATTTTTATTTTCTTTCTGAGGGGTGTCCCCATGTGAGACTTGCTTAGTTTTGAAGACGTTTGGGTGGATATATGGCAGGGTGCAGCAACCAAATTCCTGGGAAGCAGGCTGTCAAGCCGGGCTCTTTCCTACTGGGTCTCTGCCAAAGGAGACCCACAGTCATCTACTGTCCACAACCAGGCCTGTGCAGACCCTGTTCCTGCAGGACGCAGTGCTCTGCTTGCATTGGTGACAGGCAAGGCCCACATCTGGGTGGGAACGGCTTTTCAGCCCCCGATGGCTACCTGACATCTTGTGTTCATCCCGAGTCCATCCCTGCTGGGTAGAACCCGTGTCCTCGCCCTGCTTGTTCCTCCTGCCTCCACTCTGCTGTGAGTCTGGATTTCCATGTCTGYAGCCATCAGAAACTTGCAGGGATTAGTTTGTTTTGAGTGGTGAGCAGAGATGAGGGTTGCTGCTGCCCTTTCGTCCTGCACCGACAGAAACTCCTCACTCCTGTTTCTCCTTTAGATTGTAGGTACAGGAAGCAGAAGGAGTCTGGGCAGGGCAAAGGCGCGGAGCTACGGCTGAGAAGCCGGCTTTCCCCGTCTCCCCACAAGTCTCAAGGACGCCCAGACTTCCGAAATGGCTTTTATCTGGAGCACTCGGGCGGCTCTCCCATCCAAGAAGAGCTGGAGAAGCCATCAGGAAAGCGCAAATGCAAAACCAAACACCTGGCAGGGATCTGTGACGAGGGCAAGGTAAGGCTTGGGCTAATGAAGAGGATGCTGAACGTGGGGAGAAGCAGGATGGACATTCCTGTTAGTAACCATGGCTGCATGTGCCAAGGAGCCCCGTTCCCTCTTTTCCAGATGAAAGGATGTTATAATCAGCCCAAAACGCGTTCTCCGAAGAAGCCTCAGGACTTGTGGCCACTGTGCAAGTCTCGTCAGGTGAGCCCAGAGACCTCCCCCGAGTTGCCCGTGGCCCAACACATTCCTCCTGAAGCTCGGCGGCTGATTGTGAACAAAAATGCCGGGGAGACCCTTCTGCAGCGAGCCGCCCGCCTGGGCTACAAGGTGAATTTTGGTGGATTTTGCTTCTCTGTGGCCTCTGCTGCCCCCTTCATGGTTTGTGTGTAACCAGGCCCGTGCTGATCTTGTTCCTGCAGGACGTAGTGCTCTACTGCCTGCAGAAGAAGAGCAGTGACGTGAACCACCGTGACAACGCTGGCTACACGGCTCTGCACGAAGCCTGTGCGCGAGGCTGGATCGATATCCTGCATATTCTGCTGGAGCACGGCGCCAACGTGAACTGCAGTGCACAGGATGGCACAAGGCAAGTCAGCAAGAAGCGGGGACATCAGCAAAGTCCTGAACAGCACGGGGCTGTGAGCAAGGGGTAGTTTTCCAGAAAGAACTGACAGCCATCACTCAATTTGTCTTAAGAAACAAACTGATGGTTTGCTTTGTGAACTCTTCCGATCTCTTTATCTGCTAATGCTTCCATCCTTGCAGGCCTGTCCATGATGCAGTAGCGAATGACAACCTGGAAACCATGTGGCTCCTACTCTCCTATGGTGCTGATCCTACTCTGGCCACGTACTCCGGACAGACAGCCGTGAAACTTGCTACCAGCGAAGTGATGAAGCGCTTCCTCTGCGGTAGGTGCAAGTGCTGGGGTGGCAGCGCTGCCATCCTCAATCTTGTGGCAAAGATGCTCTTGTGCCCAAGTCACAGAATGGCTGAGGTTTGAAGGGGCTTCTAGAGATCATCTAGTCCAACCCCCTGCTCAAGCAGGGACATCTAGAGCGCATGGCACAGGGTGGCATCCAGGCACCATCCAAGGGCAGTCTCATTAGTCTGGCAAAGGGAAAAATCAGCATGCCAATGCAACCAAATCTGGATGTTCAGGGGTTGAGAAGGGCTTGAGCAGCAGGGCTTGAATAATTTTAGCTCTTCCATGTCTCACGTGTGTGTTTTTACAACACAACCTTTAATTATAGAAGTGTGTACCATTTTTTGAATAAGGTACAAGTAACTTTTCAGTCTTTAATGTACATGGCAAGAATGCTGGCAATGTTGTCATCACATAACTACGAAGACAGGATTGTGGATGAAAGAAGAAGACACTGTGCTCAACACCTGCAGTTCCCGCTTTACAGCATAGCCTAAACAAATACATTTCTGCTGCCAAGTAATGATGCCATCAKCTCTAAAACTGTTCTGCCCAAATGCTGCTTGCCTAGTGTTCATACAAAGGACCATTTTGCATCGCTGTCGCTGGGAGTGAAGCAGCACTTGCTTTCTGTGYTGTTAGTGGAGAGTGTCATGGCTCCAATGGAACAGCAAAGAGGACAGAAACAGCTAGAGTTAGATGCTGCTTCTCACACAGATACAAAGGAGAAATTTCCCAGTTTGGATAAGATCTGGTTTGCCAGCTGTCTGTATGTCTTTGCTTCTCCAGGCTTAACTGCACACATGGTTGTTGGAGGTAAAATTTTGAACTTGAGACAATTCTAAGGACCGTCTTTTCCAACCCAGTCAGCATTGCCAATTCTTTTCCACCTTAGCTTCTATTTTATCTTTTCAGCCCCAGGGCCATGTTGTCCTCTCCTGAGTGAGGACACCCTTTTAGCAAGTTGTAGTTCAGCTTTTGCCGTAATATCTAGCTGCAAAATGGGTTAAAATACTTCCACTGCTCTTCCCAGGAGCAATAGATAGGCACTGCAGGAACGTGCTTTGACCAGTAGATACACATTTTTCCTTTCTATTTTYCCTTTTTCTTCTTAGATTACCTTTCGGATCTCCAGGGCCGTACAGATGGGGATCCTCGAACAGCATGGGACTTCTACAGCAGCTCTGTGCTAGGTGAGTTCAGTCCATTTTATTTACACTAGCAGAGCAGAAGGAAATCTGCTAGATAACGATGTGTCGCTCACTRAGGTTATCTCTCAGCTTCCCTCCCAGCTTATGTGATATGCAGAGATCCCACCAATATGTTACGTGCCGGGAGCTCCCACTGCTCCTGAAATGGAGTCTGTCTTTAGGAAGCGGCGTGCATGGTTCCCTCTAAGTAAGGTGAAAACTGTTCAAGACTGGACTCTAACAGCTGCTAGTGATTCCTGAGAGTCTTTGGGTCTCAGTCATGGAGCGGGTTATTTTTGTCATGCACCTTGTTACTCCCTTGCTAGCTGCTTGTCAGGGTAAAACCAAGGAAAGCAGAGGAATTTTTTATTTCACTGAGGTTCTCCAGGTTTCCAGAGCAGTCTGTCCAGCCACTGTTGGTGGCACAAGATGCCCGCGCTAGCAACAAGGGTCTGTTTTCTTCATAGTGACATGTCTTGCATGTTTCATTTATTTATTTATTTATTTATTTATTTATTTATTTATTTACTTTTCTTTTTTTCTGGTCTTTTTCTGTTAAAATAACATTCTTGCTGTATTTATTTGCTGTATTTATTTAGAGAGCGGTGTGGCACTCGGACCTTGTTCATGCAGCATACCAGAGGAACACTTTGTGTAGCCTTTTCTTTTATGCGTGATGTTGAGCTTCTCCATGATTGGTTTATTTGCTCACCAGCACATTTGCTCTGATTTCTTTTTACAGAATCTAAACCTATTTTCTGAAAGTTTTCAGAGCTGTGTTATCTCAGCAGGACAAAAACATTTTGAAAACCCAAGGCTGTTCATACCTTTTGATAATAAAATCCTGACAGGAAGCTATTTTTCAGCCAATACTTTCCAAAATAGTGAATAGTGAACTTAACTATGTTCAAATGGCTTCTGGATCAAATGTGCTGTCCTCCATCTTCTGTCAAGCAAATCCTGCTTAAGGTTCCTCTTAAGGTTCCTGCTTAAGGTTCCTCTTAGAAAAGCTCACGCCAGAAATATTTGTGTCTGCTTCTCTGAAGTCATCTTTATTTCTATTCTCATGCCTAAGCCTCTAGATCTGCTGCACGATCTGGTGGTACCATCTTCCAGTCTTTACGTACCCGCAGCTGCTGGTGTGCAGCCCTACATAATCTTCTCACAGTTGTCAAGAGCAGGATCTGGCTGTAGGAATGCTCAAAGAGCAGAGGACGGTGATGTCCTTTATAGGGACCGTGGTCCTTGGGGTTGCTTTTCTGCTTGGCTGCTACATCCATCTCCTTTCCCACTGGTGCAGATGCCTCTAGGCTGAGGATGGTCACATTGGCARAGGAATGGGGAAGTGACAGGCCATTCAGGAAGGGCCTGGGGTGTCACTATGTGACTGAGCTGAGAAAACTGTCTCATCTTGTAAGCAGGTGGTTCCTGGGCCTCACAGGTGGGCTCAGTGCGAACCTGAGCATTACCAGAACATAATGTGCTCTTTCAACCTAACAGAGATGCAGAGCAGTTTAGCCTGTGCTCTCCAGACTGAAGGGCTGGAAAGAAAGTGTAAGGGGCCCCTGGGATTTAGCTCTTGGATTTGCCGTGGTGTTGTGGGCAGGTGCATATGGAAGTGTAATAGTAACTGGTTGCTCCCCAGGGATCAGCRTGTGCTGACTGGAGTGAAACTGTGACTAATGCCAACATCCATCTTGCTCGTTTCAGAGGGGAAGGATGGCTTTGGATGTGATCTCCTGCTCAATCCTCCAGGAAGTTCAGATCAGGAGGAAGATGAGCAAGAATCGGACAACTTCATGTTTGAGTTCTCGGACAAGCCACTACTTCCCAGCTATAACCTCCAAGTGTCAGTCTCTCGGGGGTGAGTATCATTTCCTGGAGCAGAGAGAACATGGGGAGCACTAATGCTGCAGTTCCTGACTTGGGTCTCCTTAGTTCAGCACTTAAAGGAAGTTTGGTCATGTTCCCCAGAGGAGATGGAAAGGGGAGACACACTGAGATGCATATGGATAAGCAAGGAAAGACCCTTCTGGTTTAAGACAGGTATTTTTCAAAATGACCCCACGAAGCCAAAACTCTCTGGAAGGCATTTGGTTTCTGTCAGCTGCTTGGTGCACACTGGTCTCCACTGCCATGGTCACAGCCCTGGCATCCCCTCAGCAGGTGTGTCAGTCATCCGAACTGCTCGAGGCATCTCAGATGGGTGTTTCCTTAAAACTGGGATGTGAGATGCAGAGTTATAGACAGCCCCTTGCAACAGCAGTGGCAGTGTTTGGAAACACTGTGTGTTCTCCACAGAGTGTGGCCCTCCAGGGAACCCCTAGTGATTTTCCTGTCTCCGTCTGTGGGATGTCCTCATATAATCGTGCCCAATGCATTTGGTTGCTGCAGGTGGTCCCTAGGCCTTGCCTGGAAGGAAACCTCCTCTCCCTTCTCCATTGGCTGTTGTTCTTGGCCCCATTTTTGTCCTATAATGGTTGGCCATGCTTTCCATCGCTGACTGTGACCACATCATTTTTCATCTGCCTGAGGTCACGGCGTTGGCGCTGTGGCAGGGCAAGGCCACCACGTGCTCCCACAAGAGAGGTTCAGGTGGGAAGGGAGCCCATGGAGCCCCCCTGACTCTGCTGCCTCCCTTGCAGGCCCTGCAACTGGTTCCTCTTCTGCGACGTTCTCAAGCGCCTGAAGCTCTCGTCCCGCATCTTCCAGGCCCGCTTCCCCCACTTCGAGGTGGCCACGCTGCCCAAGGCCGAGTTCCAGCGCCAGGTGGCCCTCAGCCAGGTGCTGGCTCCGGCCGAGGTGCCCGAGAGCCCCGAGCTGGCGCCGGGCGCCGCAGAGACAGTGGAGCTGGTGCGCTACGAGCCCGAGCTGCTGCAGCTGCTGGGCTCYGCCGTGGAGTACGAGGCCTGGAGCAGCTGACGGGGACGGGGCCGTTCCCTGCGTCACGAGGCAATAATAAGGACCAAGGGGAAGCAGCCCTCCCAGCGCCAGCAGCGGGGACCCCCGGCCTTCCCCGGGGCGCCCGAACTCCAGCCGGGGAGAGAGGCCGCCGCCTCCACGGCCTTCCCGCGGTCCCGGCGGCAGGAGCAGCTCCCTGCCCGCCCCGTCCGGCTGTGCCAGGAGCCGAAGGCCCCTCCGGAGCGGGGGCTGCGCCAGCCGGAGCCCACGGGGCGGCTGCGACCCCCGGCCGCGCTGGAGCGCGGGGTGACAGGCGCCTCGGCCGTCCTGCTGTCCCGTGGAACTGCGTCTCTCTCTGCCCTCCCCCTCCCGACGTCTTCCATAGTATTTATTTAATTAGTATTTAATTTGTAATGTTTCCTTTGGGTTTTTTTTTTTTTTTTTTTTTTTTGTTTTTCTCGGTTGTTTGTTTTGCTGAGTCTGTATCACTGTGACGATGTGAGCTCCGCTGGGGCAGGGGGCTCTTCCCCGGCTCCTCTCCAGCACTCCCCGTGCCCGAGCGCTTGGGCCCGGCGCTGGCTCCTTCCCGCCCTCCGGCAGCCGCAGCTCCCAGGGGCAGGGGCCTCTCGCCGCCTGCTCCATCCTGGCTCCCAAGGGCCCTTCCCGGCTCCAGCAGCCCCCGACGCTTCCCCAGGAGCCTTCTGCGGGAGAGGGGGCCCGGCCCGCGGCGGGTCGGAGCAGTGGCGCCGAGTTGGTACAGTTTTATTGTACAGGTGCTAACAGGACTCTGGAGGACGGGACAATCTGTTCATTTCTGTTGTTTTTTTTTTTTTTTTTTTTCCTTTTTCCCTGGCTCTTCCCCTGCTCCGGAGCCTCTGGTGGGTTTTTCTGTTTGCTTTTTTTTTTCCTTTCCTTCCATTGTGTTGTGTTTCTTCCCAGCCAGGGCAGGTGTCTCCCTCTCCCTTGGACTCCCGGCCGCCGGCCGCCCCGTCCGCAGGGCCTGGCCGGCTCCTCTTTGTTTTTTTAAGCCGAGGGGTTTTTTTGCCTTTGGGTGTGTATTCTGGCTGCTCTTTCTGATTTCTGTTTTATTATAAGCAACCGGCTGTGGTGTCAAAAACACTTATGTACAGAAAAAAACCTGCATCAGGCCTCCTGGCTGCTGCCTCTGCTTCTTTCCAGGGCCGGGGCCGCGTGGGCTGGGCCGGCTTTGCCCCTCAGCAAAGGCCTTGAGCTTGACCTCTGTTAGGCTTAAAGCCCTGTTGGGGGGTCTGAGCGGCGCCCCCCGCCCCAGCCCTTGGCTCTGCCGTGGGGCAGGGGGTCGTGGTGCCCAGCGTGGCCTGGGGGCGGCTGCCTGGAGGAGGAGGAGGCAGCTTCGGCCCTGGGCTGAGGCGAGTGCCGGGCGCTGCACCCAGAGCCGCTTTGCGCAGCGGCCGCCTCYGCGGGCCGGCGCCGTCAGCGCTGCCCCGGGCACCGCGGATGCCGTGTGTGGAAGGGGCCGAGCTTCGAAAGCGGCTGCAGGAGCCCACCCGGTCTGCAGGGAAAGACACGCGAGCTGAGGACGAGCCACCAGCACAGGCAGGTCAGTGATGCAGTGGTAGATCAAAAAGCAAAGCTCAGCGTGAGGAGGATGCCCCGACTGTGTAGGACTGAAGCTCCCGCCCTGGACATCAGCCTGCAGCTCTGCACACCCTGTAACTGCTCGGCTAGCACCGGCGTGGAAAGCAGGGCCCGTTAAAAACACAGCAAGGTCTTGGCTCACGTGGGTGCTCCCGCTCCCCCTCGGCCCTGGGGAGGCTCCTCCCTTGACTGGTGTGATGTGATAGGGGTATAAGGCGTAAATGATAAGATTATTTTTATATGCATATATATGTATTTTTTTTTCAAAGTTCATATGCCTCACCACCTATATGCAAGCAAGGAACCTACCTCGTCTAAGCTGAGACATCCTGACTAACCAGCAGCTAGGCTGGCCTTACAAACCCACCAACGCTGCTTGGGCAAGGAGTACCCAAGGTAAATCCCTCCATGTAAGGGCTTTTTTTTCCACATGCTTTCAGGTGGACTTTTCTGTGTTTCAGTTTGGGCTGTTGCCTCCTCTTGTCACCTGGTGCCACTGAGACAAGTCTGGCCCCAGGCTCTCGCCCTCAGCTCTGTCTATACAGGGGTAAGCTGTCCCTATGACTTTCCCAGGCTGAGGAGCAGCTCCCTCCTAAGCAGCACCCTGTCTTCTGCTCCTGGCCCTGCTGGCTGACACCTCTGGGCCCAGGAGGCAGATTTCACCTTGTGCTCACCCTAATCCACCGCTGTGCCCAGCGGCCATTCATAAAACACAGCCCTTGTTCAGGGTCCAGGCATCTATCACAGCCTCGGTGGTGCCAAAGACCCTCTCAAATGACACCGATGAGGCACAGTAGTTTGGAGCGTAGCTCTCAACAGCTTCAAACTCCTTCCGAGACTGTCACAAGTGCAGCCCTCCATACAACCGGTCAGCAGGAGTGCAGCTCGCGAGCCTGGAAGTGCTGCAAGAAAACAGGCTGCAGCTCTGCAGGCTTCTCCGCTGCTGATGCAAGGGAAAAAAGGAGAGCGCTGCCCAAACGCAGCGAGGTGCGGAAAAAAAACAGCAATGGCATTTAACGTAGAAGAAACTGATTTTATTGGTGCAAACGTTAAACTTCTAGGTGAGTGGAAATATTCACAAGGACGCGGAGCAAGGGGGGAACACAGCGAGCTGCCCCGTTCACTCCTAGTGCAGTGATCCCATTCTGGAGTTTAGTCTTCATGGATGTTGAACAGYTTAGCGACTTCATTGAGATCAGCATGTTCCTCCCCATCTTTGATGATCTGAAGGAAGGAAGGATGGATGCATTAAACCCTGCACCTCTAACAAAGAGCTTGCATTGCAAGGCTTTTTCCCATGCTCTCCCAAACCATGTGCTGACAGTTGAAGGACCAACAGAACTTCCAGCATTAAGGAGAGTTCATTTGGGAACGAGTCCCCCTGGCAGAATGTGAGAGCACTCATACTTTAAACTATTTCTGAGTTCTCCAAAGATGTTAAAAAAGTGATACAGGTATAGCTTGTATCTGCAGGGCTAATTCTGCCTTTGGGGAGGAGACACAGACTGAAGGGGCAATTCAAGGCCCCTTTCATGGCTGTGCCTCTAGGATGACACAGATGTCTATTCATATGACTAATTTTGACATCTGTACATTAGACCCAGTAGCACAAAATAGGACAATTCACTCTAATGCGCAGTGTCATGTGATTCTTGCCTGTACGTATTACAGATCACAAACTTCAGCTGAGCAAAGGCAAAGGATRAGGTGTAAGCCTGACACAAGCTGTTCTGTGACAACTTGGAATAGAACAGCCAGAGAAGCACAAGGACATCTCCCGTAATCCACCTGAGACATGGCTGCCCTTGGAGGTTGCTCAGCTCTGCTCTGAAGCATCTGAGTGAATTTATTCTCATTTGAAAAGGTTTTTTTCCCCCACAAATAAATATGCTCATGAATCCTTTAGATAAGCAAGCTGAAGGCCCCAACCCCACCTGCAGCAGACTAGCCCTCCACTGACCTTTCGAGCAATGGGCATCCTGTTGAAGATGTTCCATAGCACGATTCCTACCACAACTTTATCCCTGAGGTAGAAAATGACACCTTTGCCGTAATCTTCTCCTTGCTTTGGAACTTGAGGCGTGGATGAAGAGCTTGAGGAAATGGCTACTTCTGAGGCTTCTGCTTCTGTTTCACTTTCTGATCGAATACCCGTCCCTAATGCAAAGATAGGAGAGATGCGATTTCAAAGTCAGCGCAGAAGAGCGACAAAACTATCTGCCTAGCTAAAAAGCAGAGTTTTGTAGGAGACTGAGGTGTGATTTTGAGTTGAGAGCATCATACACAATCACAGAATAGTTGAGACTGGAGGGAACCTCTGGAGATCCTGTCGTTCTACTCCTTTGCTCAAGCAGGGTCACCTGGAACACACTGCCCAGGACCCTTTCTGGAGGGTTTTTAATATCTCTCAGGGATGGAGACTCTGTAACATCTCTGGGCAACCTGTTCTAGGCCTCACAGTAAAAAAGTGTTTCCCTATGTTCACATGGAGCTTCCTGTACTTCAGTTTGTGCCTTTTGCCTCTTGTCCTGTCACTGGGCACCATGGAAAAGAATCTGAGCCCATCTTCTGGGCAAGCTCTCCTCAGATATTTATGTGCATAGATAAGATCCCTGCTCAGTCTTCTCCAGCTCTCAGCCTTTCCTCATGAGAGATGCTCTAGAGAGATGCAGAACCCTTCGTGCACCCAGACAGCTCCCAGGGAGGGCTCTGTCCCTCCTACCTGACTGCTCCGTGGCAGATTTTGGTGTGTCCTTTGCTGTTGCTTTAGCGAACACTCCTACTGTAGGCAAACTGCTGTCGACAAGGCCAATGGCTTCATACCCCACGTCGGGACCCAAATCACTCCTAGGAATGAACAGGAAAACAAAACAGAGCAGTAGGTAAAGACTTGGCAAGTGGACTAAGTGACAGCACCTCTTCTGCATACATTAGCAAGGAAATTTAAATCCAAACATGAGAATGTGGGTCCCTATAGGAAGCTCTAGTTGCCTCCAGAGTAGGAATCTGTAAGAATATGTGTGTGTATACACTCACAAATGAATAAACACATATATATTTGTATTAATAATAATAGTATATAATATGTTCTTAGTAATTATGTTATTACATATTATTACATGATTGCATATATTAATCATATTATATAATTAATATTATTAACACCAAATAGTGTCAGCTTAGCTGCACRTGAGAGCTTCAGAGGGACCAGAACATTTGTCCTGGCCATACAGATTTGTGCATTCTCTGCATCTTCCTTTGAAGAAAATTAGTAGATAGGAACAGATCTAAKGGCAGGGAAGCAAAGGCTGCCTCTTCCATGCTGTGAATTTCTCCACCATCCATAGGAGATGTGGTTCAGCTGCCAGATGTTGGTGTCTCTTCACAAACTCTTGTAGTTTATT